ATAACGGGGAAGAGCATAGCTTCTCTGACAAAAGACCGTTACAAATATATTTAGATGAATTCAATTCACTTTCCATCTCAAATGTACCATGTAATGACTCGGAAAAAGGTTTTCACTGAAGTTCTAGTGTACTTTTAGGGGCCTGGATTGGTTTGATTCAATTTGAGGTTTTGTCATATTATCAGTCTGAATGTATGGATACATACAGTTACAATGAATTCACTTAAAAGCGTGTGCCCTGTATCTGATAAAATACAAACGTCAAAAGTCCATATTTAAAGCAATTTATTTTCAATTTTCAATTTATTATATATTTCTTCAGTCATGTCAATATATATATGAATGACGTTTCTGTCCTTTCAACTTCCCATAGAAATAAAAAGTACAGTCTGCCAAAGGCAACATGGAAAATGATTTACCTCACATAATTTCAATGGAAAATTAGCATTTTTTATTTTTTTATTAATTCATTCAATTTTATCGATTTGGTAACTATAACAACATACATATATAATTCCTCTATACTGATAAATATATTTTTTCATTTTTATTCTATGCAACACATCTAAGAATTATTTCCAGAACTTTTTGCACACCCAGCTTCAGTCACAGTTTAGCATACTTAAGATGCATTGAGTAAGCAGAAATTTGGACCCGTATTTATGAAACAGTTTGTATGCTCAAGTATGGATTCCCAGCTCAAACCACCTTCCTTTAACTCTTTAGCACAAACACAAATACATGTACATCTGTACAACTGTTAACATTCAAAATGGTATTCGATTTTAATTGTCTCCAAACTCTTCCAAATGATTTATAATAATTTACAACTGAAACCAAAACAAGTGGCATTGTGCAGAGAATCTAAGTTTGAGCATGAGAACGCTTTCATGAATACGGTTCCAAGACTACCACTCAGCAGGTTGTTTATGAATCAGAAACTCGACTGGGTCCGCTAAATGGGCGTATTCTGCAACAATTTGTTATCTGACTAAATTAAAATTACCCGCTAATGAGCATCCAAGAGACAAAACTAACATAACCTCAAATTTTGATGAGAAAATAAAGGATTTCTAATGGTTGATTGGTGAAATGATTGATAGTCAATCGATAGCATCTTTGCTCTCCAATAATTACACAAAAGCTATGCAGAATCAATTAACTTGCTGATCAAACGATTGGACAGTCATGTGAGCAGAAGCTTAGTTCGGGGAGAGAAAGGCAGATACCATTATGATTATTCCAGATTAAGATAAGACACGTGATGAAAACGTTCCTACAAAATGACTTTGATATGGCTCATAGAAAGGTTTTAGAATATTAAGGCCTTAATACTGTACCGCTTTATAATCACGGGATCAAAGTATGTTGTATTCCTTTTTTTTGTGTGTGTGCCTCGGTTGTTGCCTTTTTTGTATTGGCATTGTGCTTCGATTTTACTTTTTTTTTTTTTTTTTACAAAATTTGAATTTGAATGAAAATGACTTACATCCTGAAATAATTGTTTAGTTACAGAAATTGTCTCTTCTAAAGAAGCCGTACTGTTTGTCCTAAATGTCAACTTTATTTATTTTACAACAATTATGAAATAAGTTATTTTAACTTATGCATAAATCACTCTTGTTGGCCCGGATGTTATTGCGCGGGGGTCTGAATGTGGGAAATAACCGGAGTACCCGGAGAAACCCCACGTGGTCGGGCAGGTGACCCAATACTTGATCACGTCCGATCGCGATCGGGGAATCGAACCCCGGTCGCCTTGTTGAAAGGCAAGTGCGCTATCCACTGCGCCACCCGACTACACTGTTTGTCCTGCCTGATGATGAAACACCGTCCATTACCCGAACTGTGGGAAGAACGATGAGTCGCTTACAACATCGTCATATTCATCACGGGGCCGCTTACACCCCTTAGCAACATTCATCAAAATCAGGACCTAATGTTCACACCTCTCTGACATCAGAGGCAATTTTGTCCAAACGAAGTCAGCTTATCGCAATATCAAAGAAACGTAATTGACTTCAGACATAATGACATTGACATCGTTGTATCGCGATATGACAACTGATACCCTGACCTTAAGTTTAAGAGTTAAAGATTTTTACCTTTGAAAAAAGAAATATCTAAAAACTCTAAATAAAAAAATCTGGAATTTGACATTAAGATAACAAGACTTATCACGACTTGTCGCAGGACCGCATACATGACCTACGTGACCTCACTCCGTGACTTGCTTCCGAGAAAGGCCGAGATGAAAGGATGATCAGCCGGCCCTCCATTCCGGACTGTTGGCACACGTTCTTCTCAGGGGTATGACATATTCCTACAACAGACAGTACCCTCGCTCGCTTAATTGTGGTATTTCTGCAGCCAGGAGCGCCATCTTTCCGGATCACCAGCCAGTCAGACTTAATCGGATCAGGCGAAGAATGCGTAGAGACCCTCAATCATATAAATTTGCTTGAAGCATTGTAAAGAAGTGTTGAGTCCCAACCGCACAGTAGCTTTATTCGAATTGTGAGCTAGATATATTAATAGAACTTTACATCTTATCATATTTATTTTTATATATAGGTATTAATAAGCTACTATAGATTGCATAGAAACCACTTCAGTTTGTATAGAAAGGCACCTTTTTTAAATATCTATGTCTTTTATCGTCTTGCAAATAATTGTAAAAAACTTGAAATAACAATTTCCTTAAACTTCATTCAGAAGATTTTATTGTTAAGATCTTGCATAAAGTAGTACGTCTTTAATTTCTTTAAATCATTACGTTGTTTATCGATTTCCTAACAACCTTACTCAATGAATGTGTTTTGTTAGCAATGTCACCGTGTTAGCGTTGTTTCTCTTTGTCCCTTACGTATCGTATTGCTATTGCGAATAACACTGGTACATAGACATTTCTTTCGGAACACGGGTCCGCCATTTTAACCCCTTTGTCCCATCAACTGACCAACTTCCTAATAACTCTTCGATGAAATGATTCTGATTTCGAACATACAGTTGTGAGGCCTCTATCATCTAGTCAGCCTCGTTCTCAGCATAGATTGGCTTGAGAGATGGTCAGATTACTTGGGTATTACTTCGTATAGAAAAGGGTCAGTCAGTCTCCTAAAACACTGACAAGATATAGAGAAACAACCGGATTAGTGTGACTGTTATAGGTGTGACGGTATACTCTATATGTTTGCTTTTCGGCTGCTTTCAAAAGTTTAAAAAAACACCCATATTCGGAATATTTATATTTTTTTCATTTCCGCATATTCCCATTAAAACGTGAGCGTTTAAGCCGTATATTGTATAAAAAATGTTTAACCCTTGTTTCATGAGTCGGAGACGCCAACCACTGAGCCGATTGTCTGCACTTCATACTAATATAGGAAATATTAAAGATGGTCGACAGCATTTACAAAACATCGCATTGTTATAAGCTTAGAATCGCTGCTTTTGTCATGATATCGTTTATTTAGGGACGATTGAGATACAATTGTTTGTGAAACAAAGGCGAAATAAATAAATATCTTCATTCTGATTATGGTTGGAAAAATAGTGGCGCCACCTTGTCCCTTCATTATACGTTCATTGTATGTCGGCGGTTCATTTTATTTTACGAAATAATATTAGGTTAACGTTAGTTTTTATGTGTGTTTTGCAGGCATTCGTACTGATTGTATGTGTTATGTATGATTTTGACTATATGTATATTGTCTTTAAAAGTTTGCCAAGTGTATGATTTTGACTGTTTATGGGTGTCTGGTTGAGACAGGAAAGATTTCATATCAGAGATGTCCAAAAACAGAGAAACAGACTGACATAATTGAACTTTTCCAGTATCCTTACTGAAACTTTCTACACCAGTCAACGTATACGGTACAATGAAACGTAGAAAATACTATATCTATCAGTATATCATCATTTCACGATGAGATCGCCGACATTTTCACACGTACCTGTACACTGAGACACAAACACACATACAGGTAAGGTAACACACACGGTACAGGTAACAGACACACGTCTGCCCTACAAAAGTTAAACGGTATTATCTGAGGGAGCTCTTCATGACTTGGACAGAACAGGTAAACACTTTGGCTGGCGTAGCTGATAATAAGCTATCTCGCTCAGATAGCCCTGTTTATATTGAATGTCTAAAGTGGGTTGGAGTAGCTACAATCAAAGTCACTGAATCCACAAAACTAACGATATACCGAGATTTAACAGCTCTGCCGAGGCAAATATTTTTCAGTATACGCATTTCGTCGTTCATAGTGAAATTGAGGAGGAAGTTTAGAAGGAAGTTTAATGTTTTAAAGGGACGATAACTTAGTCAGTTATTTCCTACAGTGTGTGCATTAAACACCGACTTGTACTTAGTCCTCTGTAACGTACTTTTAAAAGACTCTAAATATTCCTGCCGCAAATTTTATCAAACAAAATTGCGTTCAAATATTGGAGATATCAGTTTTCAGTTTTAATTGACACAACTCTTTTATCTCTGGCTCTGAGGTGTTAACCCTCTTCGCGTTAAAAAAATGTGACGTTTTGTGATGGTGTTTGTCGACTGAAATGAATCGCGTCCTTCAACACGTTCGCACATTCCCTTTGTTGTGTAATTATGGAAACCAAAGCTCGGTGTCAATAATCCGGTTTCTCGATGTATAAAAAACTTAGCGGAGAAATGAGTCAACTAATCGTTTGATTTACTCCTGGAATCATTGCGAAATTATATTTGTTTTTGTTTTCCATATCATGCATAGCAAACAAATGTCTACTGGACAAACAAAATTCAGATTTTTAAGCAATAGAAAGTATGTCTTGATATTTTACGTAAAAGCAATGTTGAAGTGTATTTTGCTGCTTTCTTGAAAGTTCGTCCAATACACACTTGATTTTAATATTTATTTCGGGATGAGTTTGTTTAAATTCACAACTCGAAGAAAATATTTAAACTTCAACTTCGCAAATTTTATTGACAACAGTATTTGTTCTGTATGCTTATATACATACATTCGCAAACATAGAAAATATATTTATATGATATATATACAAATATACAAGTTCATTCGAGATCTTATCTCATTGAAAAAAACAATACACATTTTGATCAAAAAAATAATGGAATTAACATTTTCATAAATATTAAGTACAAAATTGAATAGTTTGGTCTCGGAAGCACTGTTTACAAACACAATAGCGTAACTTTCTGATAAAACTTTCAAAACTTACAAACAAAACGTTGTCCATGGTTAATGAAAATGGGTGATAATCGTAATAAATGTTGATGAAAATTTGCATGAATATTTTTTTCAAAAACTTCAAACTTGTATCTATTCTTATACGTAAATTGAACACATGTTTTTGTATAATAGTTATCAAAAACGATACTTATAGAAAAAATCGATTGAATCGATGATTTTTATATGATATTGAACACAATAAAGGCGATTGGTTTGTCATTTACAAAATAATCAACGTGGCATTGAACACATTTATCGGCGGTAAAAATTTGCATAATAAAATATATAAAAACATATTTTTAAAAAATAAGCATGTGAAAGAAAAACTTCCACATCACCGTTTCCAGCACTATAGTACGTATTATTGATAAAAGTCAACATTTTCCTTGCATAAATATTTCTGGCATAAAATTCATATTCAAACATCGTAAATATAATCATTAATGTCTGCATAGAATATGAGTCACAAATCAGAAACGTTGTGTAATAGGCACAGCCGTTAAGCTTGGCGCGTGATTTGCATGCCGCCATGTAAAGTGGCGTACACTTCAGGCACGCGAACTTGTCCGGCGTTTGTTCTCGCATCATCATACGAAAAAGTCCTATATCACGGAAAAATCACATACGGGTGTTTTGTCTTTCTCTATAACAGTTTGAACACAATCTGGAATAATGAGACACGATGACGTCATAGTGGTCATCCCGGGGGTCACTCTATGCCAGAGTGGCCGGACGTCGGTTCTCGCGTGGGCACGAGTGGAGCGTTGAGATCACTTCCCCAATACGCTTATCTCTTGGTTTGCTTCACCTGAAAAATATAAAGGTAAATTTTCTGTAAAGTTTGCATAATTGGAAATATACATCAAAAACAGTATTCATATTAATCTAACATTAACTTACTTATAGTCAGTTATTTTTTTCTGTTATGGTAAGGTGAACAAAAAGTTATTAATTAAGTTTCTTAATCAAAATTATAAATGCTACCATAATTCAAATACACAATTTCAAATAAGCATTTAAAAACAAGATATCAAATGCGTAAAAATCTAATACAAGTATTGTACGGATACGACTATTCTTAAAATATCCACAAAATTTATATCTTATAAATTTCACTTTATCCTATTAAATCATAGTTCGCCAACGGCGCTTGAAGATTAATGTTTGAAATGTCTGCTTGATCTGTCAGCTCAAGTACTAGCAACGTACTAGTACAGCGTGAAATATATACCCATTGACAAGTCGATAGAAACCGATGCTCTTTTACAAAAGTAGAAAAGAAATTTACCTGTGTTTTATCCGATGTTTCACGTGAACCAAGAACCAAGATCAGGTAATTCTTCATCCTCCGAGCTAAACGATTCCGAGATGGCGTCGGAGGAGAGACTCGGGGCAGGGGAATTCTGTGACGAACAACTAACATTTGGGCTTGACACAAAACTGTGCATGCCGTTATTGCTTTGTAAAGCTGCACACAAACTGTTCAAGTTATCATTGTCTTGTAATGAACTGGCAGTCTGAGAGAGCGCTGCACAGAGACTGCTCAGACTATTACTCTCTTGGAGATTTCCAGGAAAGCTGGTGCTCCCGCTAGTACTACTTGAATCACTGTCAAGTGCGTCCATATTCAAATCCATGAAAGTCTGCGGCGAAGCCGGTTCCCCATCAGTCGTCAACACTGTTTGAAGATATCGAATGTAATCTGACGCAGCTTTTAAAGTGTCCACCTTACTCATCTTCTTGTTTTTCTTTCCACTTGGCACATGTTCTCTCAAAGTTTCAAATCCCATGTTTACCATTTTCACACGATTCCGTTCCCGCTCGTTTCGCCTTGCTACAGCGGCTGGTTGTGGACGAGGAAGTATGTGATGCAAGCCTGTGTTATCCGTTCTCCTCTTGCACCGCAAAGCTTCGGGTTCCCTTGGAGTAGAGGGATCAGGTTTTTTCCCCAACTGTCTCGTAGCCTGTACTTGTTGTGCTACAGTTGTTGCTCTGACAAGAATATAGGGTCCACTCATCTGAAAAGCGTCACCAGTGGAGCCAGAAAGCCCCTGTATAGGTACAAGGCTGATCGTAGTCGTCATCATGTAGTAAGTTCGTAACAGATATAGTAAGTCACGTAACTACAACGTTCGCCCCTTGGCTCGTGTCTCTCGCGTGGATATGTCGTACTCTTCACGGCTCGTGCCCGTTCGTAGCGTCTGCATCGACCGGGGGTTCTCGGAAGTCTGTTTGTTCGTGTCCCCACCTGTTAGGTAGGGTTTTAAATACCAGACTACTTCTTAGCTCCTCCCACTCGCGAGGATGACCGCGCCCACAGAACAATTACCTCAATGACTCTCTGGTGTCAATCATTCAGTTGTCGGACTTTAGGCACGTGTATGATAATACAATGCTAAGGTACGGCTAGATTTTAAATCAACACAAAAGAATCTCAACTCCGCCAAGCATTGCCGAAGCAAGCGGGACACAGGTAGACTAAAGCCGGATATAACGCTAACACGTAACCGCTATATGTGTAGGCCAAGTCTGATCCCCCGACGCATTACATTATACTGAGTTCAAAATAATATTTTACAAATATCTCTGAAATGCAGTTGTTCCCCAATTTGACACACGACATGACCATTGATAAATAACAACCTTTCCGAGCCTGTTCATTTCATATTAGTTTTTAATTCACTGTCGAGGAACGTTTATGTTGGGCGTGTACAGTTTTGCTGGAATGATATATCATATATTCTACTGAATATTAGCACATGCTAATAATGTAAACGATTCCTGGCTATACCAATATAGATAGTTTCTTCCACTTCGGACATGTGTATCCACCGTTCTGACATGTCGACATACAGGGGTAAAATACGAGCTACGTGCTGTTATGGACACAATGACGTGACGTCATAAAATCAATCGATAATGGTGTCGTGTTATATTTATAGTATGCACACGCTTATAATTCGTGAAATCCATGCACGTATTTGGGCGGGAGAAAAGTAATCACTTCACACTATGACAGAAAACCTCAAACTTTGTCAACATTTTTCTCTCTCAACCAAAATGTGGGGAAAGGTTTGATTAAACTCCGGTTTTCAATGGTAAGGTATTATTACACAAGAAAATTAAGACGTTGCATGTTTGTGAAGTTGACCAAACGGTATGCAACTAGTACTAGTTTTTAATGTCATCGCCAACATGGGCGTAAGGGGGAGAGAAAACCGCACCTGTTGCACACTGCTAATAGATATTGGCATGTTATATGACAGGCAATAAGTGTTTAGTTATACACAACTTAATGTGTATATTTTATATCTCTCCGCACCTGAAGTCCCATATGACCCTAAGTGTTGAGTAATGGTGAATGATGACATGAACCCATTTTAAATTTGGACAAGAATTTTATTTAAATTATGTTGGAAATTTGCTTCATTAAATTGTCTGTCAAACTATGTTGTCGCTGAGTCATCGGGGTCTTTTTTATATAAACACTGTCCCACTTGTTGTAAGCCTAATAATTCATGTAGATCTGCCTGTTGTCCCCTGTCCCATTTTGGTGAATATGCCCCTCCTGTCCCTCCTGGCCCCCCCCCCCCCCCCCCAACACATTCCCCTCCCGCTTTCACTGAACCAGCCGTTTTATCCCAGGACATTGTATTATTGAACATGTCAATGTTCTCATCGTTCCCAATCCCTATCCCCCTCCACCCCATTCATTATTTGTCTTTTGTCTCAGTACCTCGTTTGCCCCCTGCCCCCATCCTGGGCCTGGCCTTGACCCTCTGTCCCAGTTCTTTTTTTGACCATGTCCCTCTACCGCATAACTATTTATACTTGTCTTTCATTTTTTGTCTTTGTACTCGTCTCTCAGCCATTTGTACTCGTCTCTCATTTGTACTCGTCTCTCATTTATACATTTGTCTTCTCTTTCCTTTTGTACCTGTCTTCTCCCCTTCCATTGCTATGTTGTCATTTATATCCTTTCCGTTACCATCGCTCTTTCTTTCTACTTGTTCTCGCCCGGCTACTGTTTTCCAATATCTTAACTGAAACTTTGTCTTTTTTAACCCTCCTGATATCCCCAAAACTCCTGTGGCCCCTCCATCAGCCCCTGTAAATTCCTGCGCTACACTCGGCGACAGGACGTGTGCCGCGATCAGTCTTGTATAAATGACAAGGTAGGGAAGAAAGCAGAAACAGAAACACCTGCACGTAACTGATCAATACGTTCAATATAGCTCCAGGTAATTTTCTAAAATGTATTTATTTATTTCAAATGAATGAATGCAAGTTGACACGGACAAATCTAAGCACGGCAGTAGCTATCTTAGCTACGTCTTGGTTTATTTCCTAACGTACGTTAGCCCAGGTTTTAGAGTATAGGTAGGGAGCAGTCCATATATTAGCATACCTGTACAGAAGTACCTGTAGCGGCGGCGACATCAAAGGAGTAATGGAGGAACTCACCTGTTGCAGAGAAGCAATAAGACAGATGGGCTAAAATAAAACTCCTCGCTAAGGATGTCAACTTTATTGAAATCAAGAAATTACGGTTGCAAAGTAAAGAAATGAAATCAAATTTGGGGAAATGACGACGGCTATCACAGGAAGAGACCATTTTATGAAATTGACATACACCATGTCTCCTTCACTCGGAAACATAACAACCTGTGTGGTGAAATATACATACCAAAAGTCAACATGTGTTGAAACGGACACCAGTATATATTACGGGTCTCAACACAAACGACCGTTAATACGATTTTAATTTTAGAGGAGGAGGAGGAGGAGGAGGAGGGGGGGGNGGGGGACAGGAGGAGAAGGGGGTGGTCTTTGATCAGAACTATATTAAATGTTTGATATTTTATTTACTTAACCATTCAGTTTACGTTTCTTGATTTTTGCATTGTCTCAAAATTAAATTGTGGAAACGTAAGGAAAAGTCATTCAGTTTGCCAGCGGCCTTAAATTCATGACGTCATACAAGAATTAATTTTGACATCACAAGTTTCATATTGAAAGGACATAGGATAAATTGATTGTTAGACAAAAAGTACTTCTGTATTCTAACGAATAAACTCTTAGGAATTAATACACATAAATGCTATATCGAATCGTATATGATATTTACAGTGTACCAATATACAGAAACCTATAACGCTAGAAATTGTATAAATATATATATATATGATTTTAAATCACATTACTTGTAAAGACACATGTAGAAATATAATGAATCATATTTAATAAAGATGGAGTTGCGTGCATGTATCCCTGTTATTAGATATAATCTTTATTTATTTTACAACAATTATGAAACGTGTTATTTCAACTTACATTAATCACTTTTGTTGGCCCGGATGTAAGCATGCTAGGGGGTGTTAATGTTAATGGGGGGTTTGAATGTGGGAAATAACCGGAGTACCCGGAGAAAACCGACGTGATTGGTCATGGACCTCATATGTTTTCATGTCCGATCGGGGAATCGAACCCCGGCCGCCTTGGTGAAAGGCAAGAGCGCTATACATTTCGCCCCTCGACCATCCATTTATCTCTGTATATCGTGTATATGGTACCCCCTTTTCTATAGCTATCCAAAGAAACTGATAAGTACTTCAATTTGATAAAACTATCAGTTATCATTATATAATAATTAACACGCGAACACCTGATGTTCCGCACTGTAGTCGGACGCCAGACAGAATTATGAGATTTTGGGAAATGATTGTATACTGATCTGAGTATCACACTGTACTCTGTACCGTGTACCGAACCATGGCTAACTAGTGAATCCTATTTTATAACTTAGTCCTTGTGCATCTTACCAGAACTTTCTTTGAAACACAGCCGTTTGTTATCAGGCAGTACAATTAAGTACTTTTTAACATTTTGGATGAAAGATTTTGAAAGCCAGACGAAGCCATTCATGGGTTCAATAAAATTATCCCCACCTCAAAGGACGACATAAAAATGATATCAGCGACAAACGGATATTGCATTGTACATCTACTCAATTAACCGGTCGCTAATCCGGAGTTTCGGCGACACTGCAAAGCGTTTTAGTGATGCAGAGTATGATATATAGAAACGAACCGGTACCCGACAAACGCTTTCTTTAAGTTTTACTTACGATAACTTTGTTTGAACTTTGGATTGACACTGTGTTAACCATTAGCATTAATTGAAAACTAACTATCCGATAAAAGCGTAACATAAGTTTAGGTGTGAGGGGTTTGAGATCGAAGAAACCATATACAATCACCTCTAGAAGCTTGTAGATGGCATTTAGAGATGAATTGAGTTCGTTTTGTACCTTTCAACTGAATGTACTGACGAAGTGTGAAGTTAATTCTATGATACGATGTGTAACTTACATACATATATGCCTTCCTCTGTGGGGTCGGTAACATGTACTTATAAACACGTGTCATCTACCTAAAGAAAAAAAAACACGTTGATGTTGGATCAAGATTGTCGGTGTTAGGCAGTTTTTTCTCGGCCCGTGACATTCTTTAACAGTTGTTAGTCAATCGTCTTGTAATATACATTTAAAACTAGTGCGTCTCGCGTCTTCCAGGGCCCGGGGCTGAACGTCTGGGTCATACCACTAAATATTCCAGTGTAAGCCTTCCGCTACTGTCTTCTCTTGAGGAGGATACACTAGAGCTCTGCCATGTTGAATAGGAAAGTTTTAATTTATGGCAAATTAATGTAAAAATGTGATATAACATATTTTAAACTACATCTTTCAAAGAGAGTAGTATATGTTTATTGTTGTATGTAAATTTATGTAAAAAAGAAGTATTTTTGTTAAAAATATATGCTAGGGCGAATGGTTTTATTTTAATTGCAAGTTAATGTAAATTTAAAAAGATATATACTGTATTTCAGTAACTGTGTCTACCATAGCTAATAGATCATTATTAATAAAACGAAAACTAAATAAATCTAGCTTTGAAAGTTTAAACTATATACGTAATGGCAAATACTAATAGAACTGCAAAAAATAATTATATATGTGTTCAAAACAAGAGGGATTTGAATTATGCAAATATAAATGGAATAAAAATGTCTTTTAGAGATTATTTTTTCTGAACGATATTGATTAAAACGTAAGTCTCAATCTTGTCGTAAGTACATGTATAAAAGAAAATTTGGAGTTATATTACAATTTTAAAAAATCACCCGGAACACCTCCGGAGTTACATAAAAATCCATCTCGGAGATGAA